ATGTATTTAAATTATTTTAAGGCGATTGTCAACCCAACCAGTTCCGTTGTCCGCTGTCCAAGACTTGCCTACCCCTAAACAAACGATGCGATAATCAAGTGGATTGCAAGTTTAAGGAAGATGAGAAGGATTGCTGTAAGTATACATTAAGCAGCTCAAGAACGTTAAGTTTATAAACCTAATCCTCTAGTCGCTCTGACCAATGGACACGATGTTCACTTCGACGTGCACCAGCAGCCCAAGTTCAGCAGTGCCGGAATCTTCTCCAGAAATGCCCATGGTGTGTGGCGAGTGGTCTGTGCCCATGAGACGGGCTATCATGAGCACCAGGCCAACACGGCGGATGCAGTGTGCGCCTTACTTGGTTTCAAGGGAGCCCACTACTTCAACAGTTCGGAATTTGTGAGTCAGCAGCAAATGCAACCCATCACGCCAGAGTTAAAAGCTGGCAAGACCAGCATGGTGGCTGAACTTCGCTCTATGGTCGGTGACAATATCCAGTTGACAGATAACGAGGTCATAATACCCGAGCTTGGTCTGCCATCCGCCTCCAGGCCCGAGAAGGATCGCCTGTTACCCCGCAAGTGCCTGGGCATCTACGTGGAGTGCAATCCATTGTCGAACAAAACCACACCCCTGAAAACCTTCAGTGCTGGGCAGGCGGTAAGACAAAAGCCCAAGGAGCAGGTTCCACTACTCCTGCCAACCATAGAGACCCACAACAGGCCAAATGTGCACTTCAAGCCGCAGATTCCCCCGGTGGTGGTGAACAAAAAGGACGAGATCCTGGATCGTTTGGATAATCTCATCAAGAGTAAGAAGAACAAGACCATACTGGTGAATGAGCAGCTCCACGAAGCCATCGAAGAGTTGCACTGGCCCTGGTTGGCGGATGTCTATTCGAATGGGGATCTCTGGTGCCTGGGCGTGCTGATTGACAAGCATTGGGTGCTGGTCCACGAGAGCTGTTTATTTGGCATTGGTTTGGACAGCCACTACGTGAGCGTCTTGCTGGGTGGTGGCAAAACCAAGAGATCGGCCCACAAGAGCAATCACGAACAGATCCGGCGGGTGAACTGTTTTGAGGCGGTTCCCAAGTCCGATGTGCTGCTGCTGCATCTCGAGCACCCTGTTCGATTCACCCACCATGTGCTGCCCACTTTCTTGCCTGACAGGTGAGCTTATCATATTAGTTTAAGAATATATATATTATACTAACTAATATTCCTTCTATAACTATAGCCATAGTTGAAAGTCAATTAATAAAGACAATATTCTTGCAGCTCCCATCACAACCAAAGCGCTGCAAGGGACTGCATCAGTGTGCTGCATGACGATGCCACCGGTCGCATAAAAACGGTGGCCATCAACCGCATTGACAGCGACGCAAACTGCCAATCCTGCTACAAGCTGCAGGAAAAGCAGCCGCCAGCCAATCTGATGCGCCTGCTAAATGTGAGCGCCGAGGACATGGCTTCAATTTCAGAGGAAGTGGAACTCATTAACGGCGTGGCCCCAACCGAGCTGCCGGCGATAACCAAATTCACCAGCTGCAATCAGTTTGGCCTGAAAAATATCAGCGATTCGGATCACAATCCCAGCGATCAGGGGGTGCTTGTCTGCCGGGATTCGCACACGGGCTGGTTCCCAACAGCCATGTTTAAGTACAACAACTCCGATTGCCAGAGTTTTAGGCGGCCATTTGCCATCAGGACTCTCGAACTGGCATACAAATCGCTGCAGGCTATTATAGGTGAGTTCGTTGCATATTCAGAGCTTGGCAAAATCTAATTCAAATCACCCGAATAGACAAGCCCAGCTGCAAAGCACTGCAGTCCGCACCGGAGTGCAGCACACATCGTTGCCCGCTGGGAGCTTGCTTGCCGCAGACAGCCATCTGCAATGAACGATCCGATTGTCACGATGGCAGCGATGAAGATGAAACCAAATGCCGCCAGCAGAAGCAGCGATGTGCTCCCGGCGAGATGAAATGTCGCACCAGCTTCAAATGTGTCCCGAAGAATAAGTTCTGTGACCACGTGCCCGACTGCGAGGACATGACGGATGAGCCAACCATCTGCAGTTGTTTCACCTATTTGCAGTGAGTTGTGGCTTAAAGTGGCAAAGAGGTTTTACCACACACTAAAATTCTGTATGTATCTGTATTTTAAAGAGCCACAGATCCCTCAAAGATATGTGATGGCAAGCGAAACTGTTGGGACAAAAGCGACGAGAGTTCGGTGCTGTGCAATTGCACAGCAGATCACTTTCAATGCAGTTCGTAAGTAATTTACAATCACTAATTAATCACAGCCTGTGTCAAGCTCTGAGTGCTATATATTCAATAGTTCTCCTGAGGATTGCATTCCTCGTGATTTTGTGTGCGACAAAGAGAAAGATTGCCCCAATGGCGAGGATGAGCGATATTGCTTTGGCATAGAGCATCCACTGGATCAGCAGAAAAAGGATTTCTGGGCCAACAGCCAGCACACGTGAGTATTCAAGCCTAACGTTTTACAAATCATATTTAACTATAACCCAATTACCTTAGGCAACCAGAGATGGCTCCTCAGTACGGTCAGGTCATTGAGCAAACCTATGGCATCTGGCACACGAAATGCTTCCCCAAGAGTAAACCCCCGCAAATGGATGAAGTGCGCGAGATATGCAAAAAGCTGGGCTACAATCCGTACCGGCAGCCCAGCTATCGGTTGATTGACGATGAGGAGAACAAACCCGTGCACACCTACGAGTTGGCGGATCGACAGGGACGTAGTTTTAGTAATGAGTCGCTAGTGGGCAAGTACCGAGACTCCACCAAGGCGCTGATTATCAGCAAATTCTCGCCGCTGCAACTGAACGAGCGTCTGACACTCTTCCTCAAGTCCAGCAGACCAATTGCCGAATTGGTCAGATGGAATGCCACCGATTCCAACATGTGCTACAGGCTGGAGATCAGATGTGCCTAATAAGTGACGAATTGTACTTGGTAAGCGGTCCCTCCGTTCTCTCGTGAATGTCCTTTTGTGCGTTTTAGTAGCAAATAAATGCGGGAGCTATTCTCATTTTTTTTATTTATAACTTGGTTTTATTTTAATTTCATATTACTTTTTATCAGTTTGCGTTCGCATATGTTGATTTTGGTTTTAAGCTTGGGATTTTGGGTAATTTCGTAATATTATTTTAACAAACGAGTTCTTCGGTTTTATAAATGTAAAAAATCGCCTTTTTGTTATGTAAAAATTTAAACAATGTAATTGGTTAAAGCACTTAATTAATGTTGGGCTTCCTTTAAATTCGTTAAAAAGACATAGGTTATCGTGTTATTAGTAATAGTTTTTTTTTTGAAAGAAGGTACTTGAGAATTATAAATATTTGCACCTTTCGAGAGCAATTAAGCAACATTTTGGAAATAAGTTAATCTCTCCGGCGCATCGTTGGTAATATAATAATATAGGTATAAACTGTAGGGGCTTAAAAATCGTTAACGTCAGTTTAGGGAAATGTATAAGAGTAACTAGTTAAATATATTCATAAGTCTTTGGCGCTGATTAGGAATAAGATTTTGGGAATACTTCTAGGAGGTAATTTATTTTTAATTCATTAGATAAACGCAAACATTAGTTGGGACTTGGGTTAGGCAAAATACTTTCAAAGTTATTTGATTTAGTTTGATTAATGTTAAGGATCTCTTTGTACAATAAATAATTACCATTTTATAATTTAAAATTGAATCACAAATGTCATCGAAGTATTATAAGTATGCAAAGGTAAATGCTTAGGCTAGAGTTAATCATTCCAAATGGCGATTAGTTAGTAAGTGTGCTATTTATATGAACCATGTGTGCGTTTTTGTACCCGGTACTCGTACAAAATGGAGAGAAAAGTATTTTTCATCCTATCAAGTGCTAATACACACACAGACTAAGATTCTCCACAATTAATACCGAACTTGTTTTAAAATCTGAGAATATTTGCATATATCTAACCGTATTTGATGCATGGCAGAATATTTCTTAACAGAGCAATGAGTACCGGGTATCTAAAAGTCGGTGATATCGACTATAGTATTCAATGTTGTTAAACTTGTATATAGTGAGCGCATTGAAAAGCGATGCATGTGTGTAAATTGTGGGTAGAGAGTGGTGTCCACTGATTGGATTCTAGGATTGGGTTTATAGCACAGGCAACACAACCTTTGACGATTCTAAGTTTAAGAGTATATAGGTTCGTAGAGTTCGGAAGAAAGTGTAATAAGGTAAATTTTTAGGGGTCCAACTAGTTTACTCTAACCTAAAGTTAAGCTTTTTTCTGGTTTCATTTCGCGCAGGGCAAATAAATGTCAGTGGTTCTTACAAATCGTTTACGTTGTCATGAAACACAGCAGTTTATATATTTACATATCTAACATACCTACTAAATTACGCTTAGGATTTCATTAACTTTACTAACTACGACGTCTCTATGAAATGGTTGTCTTTCCGTTGCTAAAATCTTAATGGAATAGTTGGTGCGTTTTTATTTACAAATTGATTCGTTCTAGTTGATTTCATAGAATATGGTATATTAAAGCTTATGAAGAGTTAGTAGATTTCACTGGATGACTTCAGATTCACTGAAAAATTGGACCACAGGCATTCAGGAAGCTGAACATCCGGGTGCTATTCATAAATGTCGTTGTAATGTGATGTATATGTGATGGTAAGTAAATGAATTGTTTATTTAAGTGGTGACGATTTTTCGCTGTCTTGGGTCGTGGTAATTTAATTTAATTTAATTTTTACAATTCCTATTCAGCTTTTCTGTTTATTTTTCTATAGGTGCAGCCGTCTAAAAGCATCCAAGCAGTTCTTTGAACCAAAATTTATAGAAGTCCACCCACTTTTTGGCCTAAAAGTATGCATTACGCTCTATTGTTAAATACTGAAGGTAAGCAAGCATTATTTTGGGTTTTTTTTTCCTGAAAATCGCCAAAATAACTGATAAAACTCAAAAGGGAATAATAGTCAATAAATAATTCATATATTTTTTGCTACAACTTGCACACACAATAATTGCCTTAGGCGTAAAACAAATCTCTCACTTGCAATAAATAACTAAAAATAAAAAGTAAAATAATATTAGGAGCTTTAAAACTGCAGGCGTCAGAATAACCTTGTGCGTTTTTACGAATCGTCAAACTTTGGCTTAGACTAATTAAATGTAACATAAATAACTAAAACATTTTAGTTAACATAAAGAGAAAAACTAAAGTTGAATTTACACAACATGTGATGCGTACACAAAATCCTCTCAAAATCCTCTAAAACATTTCGATCACCTAAACTTCTTTAGCTAAAAGGGGGGGGACTTTTATTAGTTATCTACTTTTAGGTAGTTTAAATTAGTTTGAGTTTCCATTTTCCCCTGCGTCGGCACTGATTGTTACAAAGTCCTTTCGTTTATTTCTCCGTCTTCTCCTCGATTTTGGTTGGTGGCATATTTTCCTGGGTGCGTACCAAATGCGATGGTAATTGCATATTGAGTGGATCGTTGATCCTTCTGAGATTGTACTCCAACTCAGCGGACTTCCGCTTCAGATTGTTATAGTGTTCCACGTCGAATTGGACCTTCTTGGCATTCCTGTATAGGGTAAGCGAGTATTCGCGATTCTTCACATCCTCCATCATGTACTCCTAAATAAGAAGGAATATGTTATTTGTGCGTCTCTGAAGATATTATTCCCAAAAACTTACCCTCTTGGTAACACAATAGTAGGCATACATTGCCATTGTTGTGCCGTAGGTGACAAAATAGGTAACCGGCTCCATGATATCCCAAGAGTATTCCCACCAAGTCAGTCGCGCCAAGATGCCAAATTGCACAGACATTAGGCCCAGACCCATCCAAGTCATGAAATTGGTGCGACGAGCTGCCTTTTTGCTAAGTTCCAGTTTTTTCTGAAAGGTGATTTTAGTTTCTTCAATTTATATTTTATATATTTTATTTTAATAATTAAATCTCACCTCTTCTAGTGGCTCTAGTTCGTAGCGTAAGGTTTCCAGTTCTTTGGCTAGTTGATTGCTCTTCTCTAGTTGATATTCACCCACGTTGAATGCCTCATAGAGCTGCATATATTATGTGAGTTCAATTTAAATTCAAAGAATTATTTTTAAAACTACCTTACCTGAGCAATAACCTTGCGCACATCACCCACTTTGTCGACTGATTCCACCGTGACCCTTTCACGTTTTGGTGGATTCACCTCCAATGTGCGGTTGTTGATTTGTATGCTGGGGTTGGACATGGATTAGCTTGGTGGTGACCTTTTATTATTTGTAGTTACTCACCTAAAGGAGTCATCTAACAAGCTCTCGATGGTGCAGGACGAAGCGATTCGCACACCATGCCTGTTGATCACGGCAGCTCGATCGATGCCTCGATCCTCAGCTTTGAGCATGGCTAACAGATCGCCCACGTTGTGCGAGATCGGTTTCAGGGCGAACTGGCAGAGTTCATTGCGACTGGGAAGTCGAACAGTCATATGTGGCATACCGTTCACATATTCCACATAGATGTCGTCTAGAGATGAATAAGAAACCAATGGAAATTAGTTTGATCATTATAATTAGTATAAAGCTAAACATCATTGGTTTTAAATAATTTAATGCCCCTTTTATGTTACGTACAAAAATGCCTTGTATAAATATTTAGGCATATATTATTTGCTATTGTCCATATTTATTTAATAGTAAATTTCATATTTTATCAAATGGTTATGTTTGTTGACTGACAAACTTTACCTTTACCACCCATACATTGTTTATTTAGAGAAATATAATAGGGTTTAGAAATAAAAGAGTAAATGTTTGCTTTGTGTAATTGATTTAAAAAATGTAATGATAATCGTATCCCATTTCGGGCTAATTAGATGAAAGCTATCAGGGAGTTGTCTGACGTTCCTAACTACAAATTTACGATACATATCTAAAAAAATAAACTCCCTTCACTTCCCCAAACAGTTTCTCCAGTCGGATGTGTGCCAAACCGAACTGCAGTTTTCCTCGGTTGCAATTAGCCAAAAGCCACTCAAGGTTATTCGCCAGCCTGGCTCAATTCAAATGCAGTTAGGCGTTCGAATTGCTTGCTGAGGCATGACTTTTTCGACGCTCCTCTCGGAAAAAGGTGCAACAAAGCTAGGCAGCAGGCAGTTTAGGCTTGGGAATAGATTTTGACAAACATTTCAATTAGCGGCATCTAATCGCATTCCAGTTGGAGCATCGCTTCGCGAAGATGATAGTCATCTTCCAGATGTGCGGCAAACGAAAAGTTTTCACTTTGTCGCATGTAGGATTTATGCAGCCATGAAGTAGCACAAACATATATTTATCTGTATCGCTGCCACTCATGCAAGCAGCCACCGAATGCAACCACACGCCAATGCAACAACCATCACAGCACCACCAACTTCTAATAAAGATTTTCTTCTTATAGATACACAAAAAAAAGTCTTGGAATGTACATTATAATATGTATGGAAATATCTTTTAATTTTTTAAGATTATATGTAGAAAATGTATTTAATTTTTACAAAGAATTTTTTAAAATTTTTTCTTTTAAAAACAAAAAAGTTTTGAGTAATTTTTTCACACCAAGTAGTGTAACAATTATAGTTTTGTTAGATAAAGGCATGGAAGCACTATAAAAATTGTTAATCAAAACTATTTTTGGTATGATATTGTAAAAATCTTATTTAATTTTGAAAGCTTAAAAGTGTTTAGAATTCAGAAATAAATCTTAATTTGATTGGAAATATAATATAATCAGTATATAAGATTCCAATATACTGATGACTTTCCAAAAATAGTTTTCTCTCTGTGTATTAGTTTAAATCGCCTTTACCAACTGGGCTTGATTGTGAGTGTTAGCTGGGTCTGTTCAACCCATTAGCAATTGTAGTCGGCGCCAAATGTGGGTAACTAGTGTTGTTATTGTTGCTGTTGCAGCTTGGCTAACCGTCGAAGCTGAAGAAGCCGCCGCTCATTGCTCGCTGGCTTCTACGATGATTATTTTCATGGACTTTGATTTTTTGGGATTTTAAACATTTAATGTTTTCTTTTTCTTCGCCGCTGCTTCGCCTCCTCCGTAGGCTTCTTCTGCTTTTATTGATAGTTTCAGATTTTTGTTTTAATTTTCAGTTAACTTTCAGATTTTCGCGCTAGCAGACGTGTGTGTCTTTCTCTCTCGACGTTTGAGTGACGGATAATTTCTGTGTACGTGGCAAGCAAAAGAGCAATCATTGCTGGTTATAACATAATAATCGCAATTAAGTGAGAAATTGTGAAAATGATTCCAGTGTTGTGGTCAAAATGGATTTATTGGACTGTTATCGTGTGGACAGCAGTTGTTGAAAGAGCCATTCTCCGTGTGCTATATAAAGGGGACAGATATCATCCGAAAAAGTTTAATTAACAAACTATGACAGCTACAGCACATAAAATAAGGTTTATGCAGTTGTGACAGATTTAGTTGGCCAGCAAAAAAGGAAAACCATAGAACTGCCTTCTATATGTGTTTATATAGCCACAAGTTCTGAGCAAAACACGAACAACCGCAGACAGCAAACGTGCTAACATTGATAATGTCATGTCAGATGTTCGCCCACGGCTCCTCTTTGATAGGCCGCAACTTTGCTTCATCAAAACTTAATAGCCAGTTTCCGCATCCCTGCCAAAACAAGGCTAACAAGTGTCAGGCAATTCGCACAAAAACCCTGCCAGAGTGTGTATAGTGTATGAGTGAAAACACGTGGCTGGCAAACCAAATGAGGCCAGAGTGTAGACCTGAGAACCCTTGGCGGGTTTCGCCGGAAATGCAAACGGCAATCAGCCCACAAATTTATAACAGTCGTCTCTTTTTTGTGTGCTACTTCATTTTAGAACGATGGAAATGCACAGGGGAAAATAAATAAGACATTTCATTAATCAAATCATTGTTGGAAGAAAGCCTTTTAGGGAGATACCTTTAGTTTTAGTCATTTAAATTTTTGCTTATTTATCTTTTTAAAGCTATTATCCAAGAGCACTTTTAAAACGAATCCTTTATAAAATTAGTTTTTAATTAGTTATCAGTTGCCTGTAACTAAGTGTTATTTGAATTTTTAATGAAAATGTAAATTTCTAATAATGAAATACAGCTGGGTCGCTAGAATTCCAAGGAATTAAAACTCAGCACTTAAGCTCAGTTTTCTAGATAAGGCTTTTAGTTTAAATTATATATTTTTAGTTCACATCGTAATCACGAAAAATGTTCTTTTCGGTTTTCGTGTTTTCCATGTGTGAGAAGGAAACTTGCGAACTGAATATCTGAGCTGAGTGTAGACGCTTTTCCGTGTCTGTGTATGTGCATTGCATGATTACATGGCGATTTCGTGTCTTCGTCCTTCCCGTACCTCATACCATATGGCAATGCCAGCAGAAATTGTCCTTTGTGCATTATTAAAAATTCCGGCAACCGCCTCGTGCTCGCATACTTTTTTGTGATTTAATTTTTTTTCGTACATTTTCAACAAGATTCGCGTGCCAGGTTTTCCGCCCAGCCGTAAGCTTGTATGTGCCTCTGCATTTAAATCAAGTTAAAAAGCCACACCCCAGGCCGACTGAGCATTAAAAAAAGTGCATGCATAAAATATTCAGGAAAAATATACGCTTAAATTGAACGATAAAAAAAGGAAAAATCACGCCCAATTTAAAGGACACAGGAAGCGCAGGGCCGAGCGATTAGCGGGTAAGTTGGGGGCGGGTTATAGAGATGGATGGCAATGACAAAGTGACCACTACAAGGTTTTCCGTGTTCTTGGCTCCGTTTTATTTTCTTACATTTTTAGCTGACTACACCGGTTTACTAAAATTTAAAAATATGGCAAGTAGCAGTTGACTATTCTGAATGCAACATACGTTAGTTGAAACAAAAAAATTGTAAAACTTTTAATCCTAATTATTGAGAGAATTTAATATTTTATTTACTTTTTAAAATGTTTCCAACCCAAAACTTTTTCTGGTTTTCTCTGTGTATAATAAATTTTAAGAGTTCACAAATAATACGGATTTCAATAATGACTTTGCCTGTTTTGCATTTTAATTTTGTTATTTAATTTTATTTTTATTAAACATTAAACTTAATGAAGATTTAGTACCCTCAATGCTGCATAAAAAAACATGTTTTTATTATTTTATGCTCAGCATAACTAACTGCACCTGAAAACTTGATAGCATTTTACCGGCATAACGTGTGTAGACTTGTGTTTGGGTAGCTGAACTTCTCCCTTCTTTACCTACCATTTTGCAGAACAGTGTTTTTGGGGACAGAGGTCGTGTCGGAATTATTTACGAGCTCCCCAATGAACACCTTCGACGACAAATTGGAACCCGTTGTAGCCATTGTTGTTGCCCCGCAGTTGGTAGTAGATGTTGTTAGCCGTTCGACTAGGACTTGCTTTCGGCCGGTTGCACTCAGTCCGAGGGCTCTTAGCCGCGTCCTCAGCTCGGTCAAAGTGAGTCGCGTGATATCTGGTATGATAATGATTGTGTAGGCATGGGCAGAGGCGCAAAAAAGTAGGTGATGAAATAAAAAAGGAGATACGAAAATAAATTAAACAGAATTTTCCTTCAAAAGGCACTTTTTGGCAGAGGGCTTGGCCTAGGTTTCAGGTCCTTCACTTTTTTTATTTATTTGATTATGAATCAAAAGGTAAGCAACAAAAAGGTAGCCCAAGAAGCATTCGCACACAAAAAGCGCAGTAAAAATGATGGCACGTGCAGTTAACGCCGCAAAAAATGCACATAAAAATGCGAGTCGAAAATGTGTTTAACAAAATAAAGAATACAGCAGGAAAAAACAGACGTTGTGAATGGCGAAAAATGTTGACGGACAGGCTCATGCTGTAAGGAAAAGCGGGGGAAAATAAAAATAAAAAGGAGCCTCTGGCTTGTCACAACATTTTCTTTATCGGACCAGGAAATGACACGCACACACAGAAATGAGAGGCGGTGGGATGGGGTGTTGAGTAGGCGTGGCCGTAGTCCATCAAACGAAATGCAGACACATTAAATTTAATGCCATTGTCATCCACAAAATTAACACAATGAACGGCAGGCAAAGTTTGATTGCCCCGAAAAGGATGAGATAAGGTGGTTTTTGATGCCCAAAATGCCACAGAGAAACTGTCAGTATTATAATAATTTTGGTACAAGCAGTAACCAGTTTAATTTTTTTAATTTTCTTTAAGTAGGGCTGGTGAATCGTTATTTGTGAATCGTTATTTGTGAATCGTTATTTGTGAATCGTTATTTTAATAACAGATTATTTTACGATTGGACAAATTCAAAAGATTCGGTTTGTTCAGAACTACTACTTTGTTTATCTTCGCAAAATCCCGCCTAACGAAAATTAAATGTGGCTCACTTTTTCGTAAATTATATAAATCACTTTTTCTGCATTTATTTACTGGCACTAGCAACTAATCCAATTTCCTCTCAACTCCTGGGCATCCCTTTTGCCTGATTAATGTGGCCACAGATAAACTTAATTCGGCGCCATCTAAGCGGATAAAAGCCCTTCAAACTGCTTCACATTATTTAAATTAAGCAAAAACAAATTTTCCGAAGGGGAAAACAAAACATGAAATAAAATGGGAAAACTTTGAAAGAGGGAAAATATGCGTAAGCCGAGGGCAAACATATACAGACCCCCATACCAATATTCAGCCAGCCATAAAGCATCGATGCGCCTTTAAGCTCATAAAATATTTATGAATTTGCAGGACAGCAGAAAATCTTTTGAAATATCCTGCTTTATGTGGCTCTTTATTTTGGTGGCTTGTTTGTTTATTTTCAATGCCAGCCGTTAAGTCCCTGATTTTGTGACCCAAATTATTTGGTCCAAAATCGATTTGTGCTTTAAAAAACCAACTGACATTAATTTTCAGTTTGTATCCCATTGAGCTCGACGACAATTGAGTTTGGTAGAAAGAGTTATTTTTTTGCAGTTTCATTTACTTTTTATTTTAACCCTCCAGGTATCCACTTAATTAATGGAAAGAGGCCGCGGAAAGCGCAGAGAGTTTTGCGGAAAATTCAACAAGCTTGGGTGGTTCTATGGGTGGTGTTTTGTGTGTGCACAAGAAGAAGGCAGAGTACCGCAGAAACCGCAGCCTCAACCGCTTTGCGGGCATTGTGTTCTTGCATTGTGCTTAGGCCTTTTAATATTTTACTTGCGTTTGCTCCTATTTTATTCACCTTGATCTCAATCTGTGCCATAAGCCAGAGGCAACTGCGGAGTTTGCAGAATAAATCCAAACTGCGGGCCAAGACAAACAGCGGGAAGCAAAGTGCAAACTTCAATGCAACTTTGTCGAGTGTCTGGCGCACATAAGTGGGCAACGATTTTTGCCATTTTTCGTAGACACATTCGCAAAACTGAAGGGAAGGACTAGAGGAAGGCATATAGGAAATATTTATGGCCATGAGCACTTTGCAATATATGGTCCAAGGTAAAGGATATCTGTTGTTAGAGGCTCCATTAAGAATTGAAATGGTCTATTTGCGCAGCGTAGGCCCAGCGAGGTCACAGAATATCTTATACTTTGCATTGTGGGTAAATGCATTGTCATGTTGTGTACGTATAAAATTTAAGGCAGTGATGCCGCGGGGAATTAGGTTAGATAGGCTAAGAACATTGTTTTTGGTAGCTACTATTTTTCATGTCTTTTATAAAAGGTTATACAGTACACAATAATTAATAAGAATGTGCAATGTCCTATAGTCCAATACTATTTATAAACTCTATAATTTAATATAGACTACCTATGTTTATGAAGTCCATGAATGTCCATTTAAAAATCGCATTTCTGCGAGAACAGTTATGGACTTAGAAGGCCGTTTTCTATAAAACCATTTTTGAAAAAAATAGAAATTGTTTACTCATAAAAATTTCAACAAAATCGACCAGAAATAACAAAACAACTTTTAAATGCGGATTCTTGGAAAACTAAACCACAAAGCTTTAGAAACCTGTAAGCAAAGTTATAGAATTAGAAGTGCTGGTTTTAAATCATTTTTCTACAAAGCCTTTTTTTTAAATTGAAAATTAGTTAGTTAATTAGTTAAATCGTCCAGAAAATTGACCGAAAACAACACTTCAAAATTTGAGAGCAGATTCTTTTATACTGTTTTTCAAAACAATGTTTTGATGTGCCAGCCTTGGGTCTTTAAGAACCAACCATCCAACCTTCGACATGGGTTTTCCTCTTTACCTTGGACTCTGGACGCACAGAGCGGAAATTGTGTTTTCCCCACAACACCGATTGCCTCAGTGTGTACGGTATGTAATTCCCAGGGCCGGTGGGAAAACAAGACAAGATTCCCAAGAACGCTTCGGTGAACTCTTTAAGCACTTCGCATGGCGACAACGAGGACATTGAGGCCGTCGAGTGGCGACATTTTGAGTGGGCCAAGTGACGTGTGGAGTCTGCAGGGTCCTTCTCTCTATCCGCCCACTTGGCTACTCATTAAACAGATAACGCCTCCGCCATATGCTGTTGCTTGCTCGTTTGTATTTTTTGAGGCATAGACCAAGTTTAATTAATTGCACAAACTTCACGCAATATTAAATGTCAAGTCATAGTTTTATTATCTTCCACTTGCAGGCTCTTTGCCAGACTACTTTATATTCGAGACCCATTGGATTGTCAACCTTCGAGTCCGGCACATTTTGCACGTCAAAATAGGCTCCGGACAGAGTCACAGCCTCTGCTATGGCGGCACGATGGGCAACGGATATTTTCGAACGTCACAAACGTCGTCGTCATCACGCCAGCGGGAAAAGCGGTAAGTGCCACCGAGTTTCATCATAACTACACTGAGAATACCAAAATTGTAGTCTGAAAATCTTAAAACCATTCATTTGACCAATATAATTTTTTTGTGAGATAAATAGTAGACCTAGTTTTAAATATTTAGCTAACAAAAAGTGAAAGTTATCACATTAAATAAAACACAAGCAATTTAGGAACACATTTAAATAAAGTGCAAATGAAAATTAAATTGAATCTTTGATTTATTAACTAATTTGTTGGTTCCCTTTAAAACATGTACGATTAATGCTGACACTTGTCGGTTTTTCCTTAAGACAAATGGATAAACATGCCATTAATTTGTTTTCCAAGTGTAGAGATTCGGTTCTGGGTCAAGTACCCTGGGGGAGGCTGAGCTAATAAAATATCCTTTGCGGACGTATGTGAAACTGATGGGAAGGGTTTCCTCGCAAGCCATAAAAGATGCTGGTGACCGACCCAGATCCCTGCCTCCTTATGGCTGTTTCTCTAATCAGCCTCAACTGGACATCAATATTTATGTCTTGTGGTTGAGGGGCTAACACATTTTGTGGGTGTGACAAATAGTTTTTCCAAGACAAAGGGGTTTAAAAGTCAGACAGTTAAGTTAGGCCTGACTTGGCAATTTTCTCATAAAGTTTACTGTTTAATGAAGTGAAGATTTGCTTAGAAAAGCTAAACCATAAAAGAGATAGATGAATAAATTGAAATTGTCAACAGTCAACAAGATTTTTAAGTGTTGATAGGATTCGCAGTAAAGTATCTAAATTTTCTTGCGGTAAAGCAAAATTGAAAAAAAAACATATTAAATGTTGAAAAACGAAGAGAAAAAAATTTAAGCGTGTTTTTTCTAAAACTGTTTATTAAAAATTCGTCAAAAGTTTTAGCCTTGGACGCAAAAAAAGGAATGGAAAATTATGTGGAAACTTTTTGGCTAACAAAAAATGGAAGATGCAAATTAATTCGTCGAGATTATTGCAATCATAATTAGTGACCTTTATTTTCGCGATGATTTTAAAATCGATTGGATTTGCAAATTTAATTGATGGGGCTGCAAAAACAAATAGAGCTGGATGTCCGACAGAAATAGAACGCTTGGTCAATTAATTAAATGGCCGCAACGCCAAATTGAGGCCGCAATTGAGAACGTGGCAAAAAGAACGGCAATTAAAATCGCCAACGGCGCCTACATGACAAGGATAAATACTGGAATAGATAGACGGGGCGTGGTCCAGCATGCATTCAGTCATTGTGGGTCCTTGGGGGGGGCGGTTAGTGTTGGGTCTTGGCTAGGGGGCGTGGCAGCTGCTCCCTGCTGACAGCTGTTGGCGCTGCTCAAATTCCAATCTGCCGCCATCGAAGCGGCGAGTGCATAAGCCCGAAACCTGACGAGGGTTGCCAGAAAGCAATTAAAATGGATTTTCATTCTTCTCCTTAAATGTGTGGGTTGCCCGATTTCGTTCCAGTTTATAAATATAAGCATTCTCAGCTAAAAATTTTCAATTAGTTTCCCGCAGTTAAAATTTCTATTGTTAATGAAAGTTTGTCTTTTTGGCGTTGATGCTCTTAGTAAATCAAAACTTTCTAATACGAAATTCGGACACATGTTCAAACTTAAAATAGATTTTGATTAACTTAGTTTTAGAAATTAAGTTTTTTTTATATTTTAGCTTGAAAAATGTTTGCTAGACTCACAAAACATTTTTCATTTTATAAATACTTTAAAAAAGTTATGTTTAACTTTAATAATACTTTAAAATGTTTGCTGTCTAGAATTTTTTCCCAATTTGAAACTCGAAATTGTACAAAACCAATTTAAAGTTTATATTGGTTTAAAGCTCATCTCGTTGTGTCGATTTTTGGCTGCTATCAGAAAACACGCACGAACAAAAGCTTTAGCCCCGGCGAAAAATTGAATTGTTCCCAGACGCAGCCGAAAAAGTCTTGTATTGTATTCATGTATTTTCCGCCAATAATTTGACGGCTTTGTTTCGCCTCCATTGCAAACCAAACGGACTAGCGGACAGGTAGACAGGCAGTCGCTTCATTTGCATATAGAATGCGTGCTTCGTGAGGCGATAATGTATCGACGGGCTTTTGGCAACTCGGGAATGGAAGATGGATGGAAGAAATGTGGGGAAATGGGTGGAAGTTTGTTACACAAAGATGTCAACAGCGATTCAATGACAATTTTTTGGCCACTGGGCCGGTATAAACAAATCGATTTATGCATACAGGACAGATGGGCACGGACATCTCAATGGAGGCATGGGTAAGGGATAAATGTTTTTACCCTCCCAAGCAATCCCAAGATTTAGTCACGTAACGTTGAAGCTCTACATTTTTATGGAAATTGCTATATAAAGAAATGTCTTTGTGTATGGACACTGAAGAAAAAGTACAATATAAACCTATTTAGAATTAAAAAATGGACAGTTTCAGAAAAAATTAACAAGCAAGTTGTAAGTTGTCTGGATAATATTTATATATAAATATTTTTGTTTTGTTTTTTTTTTTTAATTAAGAAAAACTTTCACATTATTTCGATATTTCTGATTTTAAGGCGATTATATTTTTAATGTTAAAGGCAGTTAATTTTTGTTAAAGATTTCCAAATTAATTGAGCATAAAATTTAAATTTAAATTCAAAAAGATATGTATTTCCGTTAGAATAAAGAAAAGTTCCCTTAAATAGAACCATAACACCTTGTTGTTCCTAGAATTTTTATCTCAATGTTCATAGGTGACGGATTTGTGTTGGTGTATTGTGCAAATGTTGTATGTGTTGGTGTCAGCATTACGAGTAAGGCATACTTCTCGTGTATTTTTTCTTTCTTGGCCTGCTAAGTGTTTTATTAAACTGTCAACTCACCTGTAAATAAAAAAGAGCAAAAAGGAGGAAAGATCGTTAGAAATGTTGTTAAGACTCAATAAATTTGTAAGCAAAAGTGAACAAATTAGATTGTCCGTCAGTGTGAGTGTTTCCCAAACCCATTGCATACTTCCGGGACACAAACTTTTTTTATGGACGTTCGATGTTCATTAAAAAAGTTTCAAGCACATTTCGGCATGCAAACCCCCAACTAGAAAATAAAGCAACAACAACCAGGACGATTGGTGGCTAACTTTCACAAAATTTAATTTGAAGGCATAAAAATAGTAGAAAATAACGAGCTGTGTGAAAGAGACAGAAAAAGGATAGCAGTATAGCCTCAAACAATTTACCAATTAGAATGTGAAAAAGTTTGTACATCTGCCGTCAATGTAGAGTATAAATTAATTGCACTTTTTCTCCTCCCGCAACGCCTGCGGCTTATGACGACGACTGACTGGCTGTATAATAAATATTTCACACTTAATTGCACAATTAAAATAAAAAGTTGAAAGGAGCATCGAGCAACGAGCCAAAGACGCTTAAATGAAGCGAAACGTGCCTAAAGAAAGAATGAGTGAGGACCCACAAATTGGCACAGAATGTGTGCAAATGATGGCAGCAGCAAAGCGGTGGAAACTTCTGGGAAATAAAGCAAGAGCTGAGACAATTTCCTCAAACGAGCAGAGACAGAAAAGCAGGAAAAGCGAGGAGCCCAGAAGCAGGCAACACAAAAGAGCCAGCCTACGTGTTTCGTGTGCACAGGCAAAAGGCGTAACGAGTGAATATCGCTTTCCCCACCCAGCTATTTGGCCTTTTTTTTACCCCTCGCCCATCAACTGTGAGATTGTCAGTGTCTGGCGGAGCGTATAACGTTTGCTCTCTGCTGTCTACATACTGTCTGATAAATTCAGCAGACTGCCTCTATTATCTGTCCGATTATCTCCTCAAGATTTCGCCTTGCAAATGCAATTGATTAATGCCATGCACAAATTGACAAGAGAACAGAATGAGCTACATTCTGCCAGGCCCAAGCTAATGTAATTTACCGAAGTGCCCGCAGTCGTTGGAGAAATGCCAGCAGTTGCGCATTTATTGTTTTCTGTTTATAACAAATTTTCAACCTTTCAATTACCTTTCATCGTTTGATATAAAAAATAGCAAAATAATTAATAACTGGTTATTGCTTATATATTGAATTAGTAGGTATATAAATTTATGCAAAATCATTTAGATCTCTTAAAAAGTTATACTGTTTTGATAAACGATCTTCGAAACGAAATATAGTAATGTCTACTTTTAGACCGACTCGAAATATTGTGTGGATCCGCTCCTGAACACTTTTTATTCATCAATCCATGTATCCACATCCATCGCATGACTGGCAGACGAATCAGTAGGTACACAGGTTTAACTCATACAATTTGCATATATATTCTGAGTATATAGACACTCTGCTTTCTATTAGTTTGACTTGCTTGCATTTTCCCGACTGAAAATAAATATTTACCATATTTTCATTTGATAACCCAAACAATAGGTTCGGCTTTGTATAATGCATCACAGAAAAAAAATATTTAAGCTGAATTCATTTTTAGTTTTAAACCGAGATTTTTAATTTAGCTTTTTTTGCATTTGTAAATCAATTTTAAAATATTCCTTAAGTAAACATTTAAGTATTTTTTTAATTGTAAGATAAGCAAGTTAGAACTAATAAATAATATTAAACTCAAAAAATCGAGAGCTACGATTTATTTAATTAGCACTTCTGAAACTACCGAATCCAAATTATTTAATTAATAAATTCAAACTTGTGAGGTTTTAGGTTCCCTTTTCAAACTAAAGTTTTCTCATTTCCAAGTGCGCTTGATATACTTGACGACCAATATTTGCCTTGACTTTGGAAACAGCCATCTGGTGCTCGGAATGGCCTAACAAGATGTCATAGTTTTTCCACAAAGCAGTGTGAGAATAATTCCGAATAAAGAACTTTTGCCATCCGCCCTGCATGAATGTATGCATGCTTGTTTGTGTGTGAAAACATCATAAACAAGTTTGCAATTTTCTCAAGACAAGGGGGAAATGCTAGAACAGGATGAGAGAATAACACAAAAACAAGGTAC